ATCCAGAACATTGAACCTTTACAGACGTGAATCAGGCAAAGGTCTAAATGTAAAATTGCAGCTTTCTCTTGCGGACTATAATGTGGGAACATGGACTGGAAAGTCACTGGAGATGTCTCAGAACATTCTTCATTCATCAACATCATTGAGAAAGAAAATATAGGAGAGTATATTGGCAGACAAATAAATTTTTGAATCCTGGAGTCTCAGAGTTGCAAAGGAACTTAGAGGCCACATTGTACAACTTGTATCTTAGACAAGAATCTCTCTACCACACACCTGAAGAGTGGTTACCTGGTCTTTGCATGAAAGACTCCAGTGAAAGGAAACCCATTACCTCCTGAGGCAGCCCATTCCACTCTGAGATAGCTCTAATTGTTAGAAAGTTTCTTCTTACATATATCTTGAAAGAGAAGAAAAGAAAATTAAACAAGATATGGGCACCTAGGATCAAGAAGAGAAGATCTTTGGTAGTGGTGGTGTTTTTGTAATTTCCTCGGAAAATATCCTGGGGGAAGAGAATAAGACAAACCAGTAGAGTTAAGGAGCCTACAATGACTCCATATTCCTTATTATAGGATCATAAATCAAGAGCTGAAAGGGATCTGGGGGAGTCACCTAGTCCAGCATCTTCATTTTACAGTTAGAGGCCTATGAAAATTTTTCAATTTTTATCATTCTTTTTTCCCCTTTTTCCATCTTTCTCCATACACTGGGATAAAAGATAGAAAGGAGGACAGGAAAGAAAAGGAAGAGAAGGAAGGAAGGAAAGAAAAAAGGAAGGAAGGAAAGAAAGATTCTTATATCACTTAAGTAGTCAAGAAAAACAAATACCCACTTTGGTCATATCCAAAAACAATTCTGCGTATTAGCCCATCATGTCTCTGTCATGAAGTAGTCAGTGTTCTTCTTTGTCAGTCCTCTGGAATCACAATTGATTATTTAGTCGATCAAAGTTCTTAAGTGTTTCAGAACTGTCCATTCTTACAATAATAATGTTAAAGTATAAACTTTTTTTTGTTTCTGCTCTACAGCTCAGTTCATGAAAATTGGTCTCTTTAAAATCATCTTTTTCCGAGGTTACATAGTTAAGGAGCAAGAAGAAAATTTGAACTCATATTCTTTTACTCTATAGAAAATGCTCTTTCTACCATACCATGCTGTCTTACATTTTAATTCAGGTCTTCCTGACGCCAAGGCCAGAACTCTTTCCACTACACTAAGGTGCCTTTTAGGTAACCTAGCAGATCAAAGCCAAAACCTTCAATTAAAGATAGTGTGTTCTCTCTTTAAAACTTTATATGGGTACCATTCTTTGCAAATTAAGTCATACTGAACAAAGAAGAGATTGGGTCTATCATTGTTTCTCCCTTTCCTTTTCCCTCACAATAACTTGTGATCTTCTATGTCAGCAGTCTCCATTTTTTTAATGTGCATCCCCATCAGTTATAAAAATAACATATACCTCTGGTATATGTATTATCATACATTATATATTGCTATACTAATACTTATTTATATTGTAAAACTTACACCAAAAATAAATGTAAAATACTGAGGCAAAAGTGAAATAATATTAGATCTTGAAGTCAAGTTGGAAACTACTGGAGTTTATTGAATGGGGGTTAGAATTTATTGAATAGAGAGAATTATATAATCAGACTTGAAAAACCACTTTATTAGTGGACTGAAGGATGGATTGGAGTGGAAAGAGACTTTAAGCAGGAAGACTAACTAGGAGACTATCACAATAGTCCAGGCAAAAGGTAATAAAGGCCTGAATTAGGGTGATGAATGATTAGGAGATGATGGATTTGACAAATGTTGTCAAGGTAGGAACAATAAGATTTAGGAAATGAGTGGATATGTGGGGGGAGGGAGAGTGATGATTCAAACATGACATGGAGATTGCAGTGAAGACACCAAAGAGGCAACCTGGATAACTGGAAGGATGGCAATGTCCTTGCTAAAAATACAATATTCAAGCTCAGAAGAGGTATGGGTTTGAGAAAAAACATGTATAATAGGCCTTACAATGCATATTGCAATCCAGCCATCCAGCTTAGCCTTTACAACTCACTCTGTCCCACTCAAAATAAAAAAGGATTGTGATATTCTTAACTTATTGGTAAATGCCCAGAAACCAGAGCTCACCCTTCAAGGGGCACCTGCCACAGCCACAAGGGGATCCAAGGGAAAAGAAAGGGGTATCAATTTTTCCTATGACATTTGCTACTGCTACTGGTAACAATTAGTTCTATCCCTTCTCCATAATTACCCTGAGGGGCTAAATGCCAATGCAGAAGTAGGAAGGTTGGGAATTTGCACAGTGGAGTAAGGACAGAGAATATTAAAAGATAAAGGTCAGTACAGCTGTGTTGGAGACAAACCCCAGGATTGGCTGTCACAGGGTAAATCGGAAATAAAGTCATTTTTACACTCTCTAATTGTTTCATGACCCCCTTGGAATCAGGCCATGAGCCCCCAGATGGCCCCAGGCTCTACTTTGGAAGTCATTGTTATATCTAGGCAATGAAGAAATAAATGTTTGACATATTGGACTACATTGAATAAACAACTTTACAAACAAATGAGAGAGAAACGTTTAATGAGTACTTGAAGACAAAAGGACTTTCTGGGAAATTTCTAATTCAGTACCAATATGCAAACCAATCAAAATTATCTATATTAACCAAAAGAATGTAATGCAATAAATGAGAAAATAAATAAATTAGAATAAATAGACAAAATTCCTGTTGGAAATTTAGAAGGGACTGAAAAAATGTTATGATACTTTGTGTTGAAATTAATGTAGCATCCTCTTGAGACATGCTGAGAGCACAGAAAAGCATATGGAAGCTTGGAGTGTATTGCTTCTGTGTACCCCACTCCAGACCATGCACAGATATCCTCTGCCTACTTCCTATTGGCCATAATGACTAAGGTCTGAACAGTGTAATCATGAAAAGTCTTAACTGGCTACTGAGCTGGCACTCCATAGATATATAGGGGCAATTCCTGTTCCTCAGACTTTCCTCTACTTGTTGGCTTTGACAAATAAGGACAACACTCAGAGCTGTCCAGAGGATTAGGTATATCTCTATATACCTAATATATAGGCATAGGAGTACAGTGCCCATGCATATTTATTCAAGGCATCCTCTCAGGGAAATATCCTTCCAGACAAAATATTTCATCTTGATGAGTCAAAGAAGAGACTGAAATCTGAGAACACCATTGTCACAGGGGATTCTTTAGTTAAAATAAATGGAATTTGTCTGACAGAATTAAATCCCATTGTCCATTTTAACAGTAATAATCTTCAGTTAACACATGATGGAGATGTTAACACATATTATAGGGGGGCAAATCTCTCCCTAACCAGTCACAAGTCATGAGCTCCTGGCCTCCTGGGCAAACCTTTGCAGGGTAGTAGATCACCTTCCATTTATGTCTTCTTTCCTTTGGTCCAGAGCCTTTGAGAGCCCAGTCAGCTGGCCTCTTCCTCTTCCTTAGCACCTGAGCAACAGGACAGTGGTTTTCAAGATGTAGTGACAGCTATCTCCTACACGTAGCATAGTGATGTCATTGTGTGGCTCAAAGGGAGACAGAATTGACATTTCTAGCCTCTTCGTCCCCCACCCTTCTCCAAGAGAGACTTTAGTTCCTGCCAAAAGGGGAAGCAGGAGATTGGATCCAGAAGGTTGGCCACTCTACTCTCTCAGAGAGGGGGTACCAGGTTAGAATTATATCTATCTTACACTAATGCACTGTTGGTGGAGTTGTGAACTGGCCCAACCATTCTGGAGAACAATTTGTAAGTATGCTCAAAGGGCTATAAAATTGTGCAGATGCTTTGACCAGGTAATACTACAACTAGGTCTGTATCCCAAAGAGATAGAAGAAAAAGGTCTCAAAGAGCTCACATTTTAATGAAATATGTAATGCATAAAGAAGGAAGGTGTGTGCGGGGGCTAGCTCAAACCGATTTGAGAAAGCCAATCGTTAAATTTCCAGTGTGAGCATTTTTACCTCAGAAATGGACACGCTATAAATCAGGGCTTGATTTATTGCTTTGTTGATTGTCACAAAGTGATGGAGAAAATGCTAATGATGTGGATTAAACTTAAAAATGTGTTCTGATCACAATTCTGTTTTGACGATCTCCTTATTAAATATTTTCCAGCACACACCCCTAAATTGAAGATTTCAGTTGCAAATCAAATTGAAAGGTCCCATGGTCTTTTTATTTTTTTTTAATTTTCTTTTATTTCTCCATCTCTATCTCTACCTCTCTATTTGTGGGCCTCTGTCTTTGTCTCTCTGTCTCTGTTTCTGTGTATTTGTCTATGTGTTTCAGTATCTGTGTGTCTGTTTGAAGTGAAGAATTAAATTAAGTTCAAGGGAAAAGAAGATGAATATTTCTTTCAAAGTATATCTCTTTGCTAATATATGTTTATGACTGAAACAAATGAAAATACAGAACCTATATGGTGAGAGTGTTAATCATTCATTCATTCTCTTTCTTTCTTTGTGTGTTTCTAATAATGAGGTTGGGTACTTTGAATGTGTATGGTTCTTCAGGAAAAAAATGTGTGAAATAGAGGCTACAAAAATACTTTGAACTATTTAGAGGAAAATATATCTTGTTAATCTCATTGATTTCAATTGAACTGAAAGTGCTTTTATAAAATCTATTCAGTATTTCTATATTTAAAAGTCAACTTTATAAAAAGCAAAGTTACACTTACATGGTCAACTTCACAACTGAGTTAAGTGGGCCATGGAGAATGGTTGTGTCTAATTATTAAAAGGAAATTTTGGGGTTTCAAAATGAAGTTTGAGAGGAAAATAAAACTCTATCATGGCAAGCTTTATGAGAAATGCATTTCTCTGTTGTTAATTAAAAGATGATACAATCAATGAGTCATGGCCCTGCTGACTTATGTTGCTGAAGTTCTGTACAAGCAGGATTGGCTTCATGTGAAGAGAGGAAGGCGTCCTGCAAAAACAAGGCACAGAAGTGGGGACCAAGATGAAGATCTTGCCCTTCCTCTGCTTGTTCTCTCTAGCGTCCTCTTCTGCTTTTCCTGCAGATCCCAAGAGGGAGCATGAAGAAAGCAGGCAGCTTGCTCAGGTACTTACTCAATGAGTGTTGTTGACTGACAGACTAAATACAATGAAAACTAGGAGCTACTTTTGTAACCATCATCTAAGGACCTGCAGCATTAGCAAAATGAGTCCCTGACCTTTCTAAGGGGAAGAAGCTCCTAGGAAGAGGCAATGAATAGGGGTGGAGTGGGTGGGTGGGGGACAAATAGTTAAGTTAAACAGTTAAGTTCTGAGCAAAGAAGTCCAATGCTGGACTGCTGGAATTTCAGGGAATGTGAGAAAGAAAGAGAGAGAGAGAGACAGAGAGAGAGACAGAGAGAGAAAGAGAGTCAGAGACAGAGAGACAGACAGACAGACAGAGACAGAGAGAGACACAGACACAGACACACACAGAGACAGAGAAAGAGACAAAGACCAGAGATAGAGAGATAGACACAGACAGAGATACAGATACACAAACACATAGAAAAACACACAGACAGAAACAGAGATAGAGACAGAGACAAAGACAGAGGTCCACAAATACAGAAATAGAGGTAGAGACGGAAAAACAAAAGCATAGTAGTAGCAACTACCATAAGGATGCACCAGGAAGGATTTTGAGATTGACTAGAATGGCCTAAGATGCTGGTTTATAATATCTGTTCACAATGGGAACTCAGGAAGGGGCTTATAGAAATCATCACAATTTGATGGTCCCATGTGACTGAAACTGATTGTATTTACAAAGCAAAGAATTTGTACATAGAAAATCTGTTTCTAGGAAACACCAGGCTGAACATAGCAGCCAAGACAGTTAAAAACATAAACATTACCCAACAAGCAAAAGAGGCCTAACATCCTCTTGGGTGTGGTTGGAGTTTGAGAAATTTTAGGGTTTGTTTTCTTTGGTCAATTCCAATTCATTCTGTTCAATGAGTTTAATTTAGAGCTCACTATGTCCTAAAGTGTGTTGTTGTATTTTTATATTTGTATCTTTGTGTGCACATATATGTGTTTTGTTTTGTTTTTTATCTTTTGGGTCAGGCATATTTAGGACAGTTCTATACACTTGAAACAGAAGGGAGTCATCTTGTTCAAAACAAGAGCAACGTATCCTTAGATGGAAAACTCCGGGAAATGCAAGCATTTTTTGGATTGACAGTGACTGGGAGACTTGACTCTAACACCCTTGAGACCATGAAACAGCCCAGATGTGGGATGCCTGATGTGGGTCAATATGGCTATATTCTACCTGGGTGGAGAAAACACAGCCTCACATATAGGTAATGCTTCTGTCTTCTTTAACACCCTGTAACTATTCTACTCTCACATTACACATGTGTACTTGACTGTATGAAATGTGTCTAAAAATAAATGGAAACTAGAAGATGGCCAGTTTAAGTTGGAAATGGAGAACTTCCCAACTGTGAGGGCTATTAAATATTAGAATGGATTTTGAGGAAAGTTATGGAATCCTCTACTTAAAGCTGTTATAAAATAAGCTGTTACAATAATTATTGTAACTGGCTTGAAATAAATTATATATGTTCCTGATTCACAATGAAGGAAATGGGCAAAGTCTATACATCTTCTAAGAGTCTTATCTTTTCCACAGCTCTCTTGTCTTGCTCTATCTAGGTGGCTAAGGAGATAGAGTGCTGGACCTGAAATCAAGAAGACCTGAATTCAAATCCAGCATCAGAATTTACTAACTGTGTGACCCTGGACAAATCACTTAATCTCTACTTGCTTGAGTTTCCTCATCTGTAATATGGGGATAATAATCTACCTCCCAGGTTGTTGTGAGGATCAAATTAGATTATATTTGTAAAATGTTTGGTTAGCCTTAAAGCATTACATAAATGCTCACTATTATTTTTATTACTATACCTTAGAGACATGGGTAGCAAACAGCAGGCTCAGAAAGATAATATAATGGTTCTAAATCTGCTCCTAAGTGCAGCAAAAAGATTGATAGATCGAAGGACACCAAGGAAAATGTGGGAGGTGACAAGGGCACAAAACTGTTTACAGCTACCAGTTATTCCCCAGGTGTATTTATGCCCTACAGGAATTATTCTCAGTGCTAGTGTTAAAAGTTTCTTGGTGGAAACCAGCCTCCTTTATGGTAAGAAAACATATGCCAGATAACTGATGTTCTTATAGTTTGCATCAGTAGCTCACCTAGTGCTAGGCAGCTAGGATGACAATGGATAGAATGTTGAACTTGGAGTAAGAAAGACCTGAGTTCTAATACTTCCTCAGATCCTTACTAGCTGTATGGTTCTGAGCCTGGGTAAGTCACTTAACCTCCCAACCACAGTTTCCTCATCTGTAAAATGGGGATAATAATAGAATCTACCTCACAGGGTTGTTGTGAAGATCAAATGAGATAATGTAAGTAAAGCATTTTATATAAATGCTAGCTATTAGTGTCACCACCACCACCATCACCACTACCACCACCACCACCATCATCATCATCATCATCATCATTTTCATTCAGAAGGCATGAATTAAAGTGCAACATGGAAAGAGAATGACTATAGCTGAGGGTACAGGAAAAGATACAATGCGTCTGTATAGAGGAAAAGATACAATGCATCTGTATATAGAAAAAAGAATGATTACTAAAGTAATCATTAAGGCTGACATGTCTAGCTCTGCATTGGTCCCTGAATGGAAAGAGCATTATGTTTAAGTTTGGGTTCCAATGTCTTTCATATTCAATGATACAAGTTGGGAGCCAATAAGAATGTCCAGTCAAACACTATGTATCTGACCAATTTTCCCCTCCTCTAGAGAGCCCTGAATTTAAAGTCAATAGACTTCATGTCTGCCATTTCATTACTCATGATCCTACCTCCTCCAAATACAGACCTCTTCCATTTTTTCCCTTTTCACCATCCTTCCAGTCACACAGATTCACAATCATTACGCAGTTCTATCCTCCTCACTCTTCCTCAGTTCACATGTTCAATCAGCTCAGTCCAATGCCAGGTCTTGTTGATTCCAGCTCAACAGCATCTCTACTTCATCTCGTTCTCTCCATTCATATGGCTACCCCCTCTAAGTTTAGGATTCTATCACCTCCTTCCTGGAATACTGCAAAAACTTTCTAATTGATTTCTCTGCCTCCAGTCTCTCCTATCTTTACTGTACCAACAGTTCATTAATGTATCTATTTTCCTTCATCCTCTTCAGCATTTGTCATTTCTGATAGGTGTGAGGTGGTACCTCAGAGCTGTTTTAATTTGCCTTTCTCTAATCAACAGTAGAGTATTTTTTTTCATACAGCTATAGATATCTTTGATTTCTTCTTCTGAAAACTTCCTGTTCATCTTTGAGCAATTATCAATTGGAGAATATTTCTTATTTTTATAAATTTGACTCAGTTCCCAACATATGTGAGAAATGAGGCCTTTATCAGGAAAACTTGCTGTAAAAGTTTTTTATATTATTTCATTGTCTATGGTACCTTTTAGCTAAATGTATTTTCCTTGATAATCTCTTATAATTAGATCTATTTTTGTTTTTACTTTATCTGAGATCATGATTGCTGCTTCTACCCTCTTCACATCAGCTGAAGCATAATAGATTCTGCTCCAGTCCTTCATTTCAACTCTCTGTGTGTTTCCGTCCCAAGTGTGTCTTTTATACACAATGTGTTGTTGGATTCTGGTTTCTAATCCATTCTGCTATATGCTTCCCTTCTATGGATTAGTCCATCCCATTCACATTCACAGTTATGATCACTAACTGTATTTTCCCCCATTCTATTTTCCTCTGTTAATTCTTCTCTCTCTTTTTTATCCTATCCCTCCTCAAAAGTTTATCTTGCTTCTGACCACTGCTTTGCCCATTCTATCCTCATCTTTATCATGCCCCCCCGTCATGTGTCTTATCTCCTTCTCCTATCTCCCTATTGGGTAAATAGATCTATATACCCAACTAAATGTGTGTGTATATGTATATGTACATGTGTGTGTGTGCATATATACATACATACATACATATATATATTTTTTCTTCCCATTGAACCAATTTCTATAAGAGTGAGGTTCAAACATTGTGCCCTAGCCCCCATTTTCCCCACCCACTACAAAAGTTCCTCCTTGTGCATCTCTTTTATGTGGGAAAGTTTGCCCCACTCTACCTTCCCCCTTCTCTCACCCCTATATTATCTTTTTAGAGCTCATTCCAACATAATTGACTTACACCTTACTGCTTTTAATAGCCCTAATAATAATAAAATTCTTAGGAGACACATGTATCATCTTCCCACATGGGAATGTAAACAGTTAACTTCATTGAGTCCCTTATAAGGGGCTTTTTTTATGTTTACCTTTTTATGCTTCTCTTGAGTTTGAATGTAAAATTTTCTATTTGGTTCTGGTATTTTTATCAGGAATGCTTGGAACTCCTCTATTTTATTAGATATGCACTTTTCCTCCTGAAGTATTATATTCAGTTTTGCTGGGTAGGTTATGCTTGGTTGTAACCCTAGTTCCTTTGCCCTCTGGAATATCATATTCCAAGCCCTCCACTCTTTCATGTGGAAGTTACTAAATCTTCTGTAATCCTGACTGTGGCTTCACAAACTTTGAATTATTTTTCTGGCTGCTTGCAATATTTTTCTTTTGACAGGAAGCTCTGGAATTTGAGAGTTTTCATTTGGAGATCTCTTTCAGGAGGTGATCAGTGGTGTTTTTTTTTCAATTTCCATTTTACCTTCTGGATCTAAGATATTAGAGCAATTTTCCTTAATAATTTCTTAAATTATAATGCATAAGCTCTTATTTTATAATGGCTTTCAGGTAGTCCAATAATTCTTAAAATATATCTCCTGGATTTGTTTTTCAGGTCAGTTGTTTTTCCAATAAGGTAGTTCACATTTTCTTTTATCTTTTCATTCTTTTAATCTTGTTTTATTGTTTCTTGAAGTTTCATGGAGTCATTAGCTTCCACTTGTCTAATTTGAATTTTTAAGAAATTATTTTCTTCAGTGAATATTTGACCACTTTTCCATTTGTCCAATTCTTCTTTTTAAAAAGTTCTTTTCTTCAGTGAGTTTTTTTTAAACCCCTTTTCCATTTGGCCTATTCTGCTTTTAAAGGAGTTACTTTTATCACTGAATTTTTGTGCCTCTTTTACCATTAGGCCAATTCTTTTTTTAAGGTGGCATTTTCTTCAGGATTTTTTTTGTTCCTCTTTTACTCAACTGTTAATTCTCTTTTCATAATTTTCTCAACTCTTATTTCTTTTCCTAATTTTTCTTCTACCACTCTTATCTCTTTCTTTAACAGAAATTCTTGCTGACCTTGGGTCCAATTAGCATTTTTTCTTTAAGGCTTTGTTTGTGGCTATTTTCATATTCTTGTCTTTTTTTGAGTTTATGCCTTGGTCTTCTCTTCCACCAAAGTAATTTTTTATGATCAAGTTGTGGGTTTGGTATTTTTTCTTTTTTTTCTTTTTCTATTTTCTCATTTTCCCAGCCTATTTCTTGACTTTAAACTTTATGTTAAAGTTAGGCTCTGACTACCTGGTTGGGGAGACACTGTGCAAGTTTCAGACTTTTTCATGCTGCTGTTTTCAGAACCAGTTCTGGGAGTCTGCAAGTTTTCAGTGCTTCCAAGTTAGTGTTATCCTGGGAGAGGTGTGGTCATGCTCTCTTTGTCTATGCTCTGGTCTTTACCCAGGAAGGGTCCCTGCTCCCCTGCAGCCACAAGTACTGGTGCTCATCTTGACCCTAGAACTATGACCAGGTCCTCTGTTCTCCTGCAGCTGCAAGTACTCATGCTTCCCTTAGCCCTGGAACTGTGCCCTTGGTGTCTGCTCCCTTGTGACTGATCACAAGTGCTCCTCTCTATCCTGGAACTGAGATCCAGAACTGCATAGGGGTAATAAAGTTGCCAGTCAGCACCAGCTGCAACTAGTGTCATCAAAAGGTCCCCTATAATCTCTTTATGAACAGCTGTCTAACCCCCTTATAGTCTCTGGGTTGAGAGCTCCCAAAGCTGCTGCTTTTGTACTGAGGTTGTGGTTACCTCCAAGACTGTACCCACCTCAGTGTTACAGATTTCTCCTTTGGGCTTCCTAAATTTTCTTAGGCTATAAAAAAGTCTCCTTCTCACTTTTTGTTGGCTTTATCTCTCCAAAATTTGATTTGAGGTGTTATTTTAAAGTTGGGGAAGAATATTGGGAGAGTTCAGCTGGGTCCTGGCCTGTACTCCACCATCTTGACATAATTTCTTTTCAATAGTCTATAGTCTAATCAAATTGGCTTTCTTTTTTTAAATAGTATTTTATTTTTTCTGATAGTTTACAAAGTGACTTTCTAGATTTTCTTTATACATAACATTCCACCTCTCATCTCCATGTCTTTGCACAGACTGCCCACCCCCCTGCTATGCCTGGAATGCACTTATCTCTCACCCCCATCTCTAAGGAATGCTAGTTTCTTAAAAGTTCTCACATGAGGCCTTTCCTGATCCCCTCAGTTGTTAGTACCTCTCCCAAATAAAATAAAAATTGCTTTGTATTTATTCTGTATATACTCCATGTATATGTGCCTCCCACAATAAAATTCAAGTTCTTCTGGGAAGCAGAGTGTTTTATTTTTGTCTGTATCCCCAACAATTAGCACATTGGCAAGTCCCCTCATTTCCCTAGGCTCTAGTTTCCTCATCTGTAAAATAAAGATGTGGAACTGATATGACTTCGAAGGTCAATCCCAATTCTAATAAAGTTATGATATAAAATTAGACTATAAGCTTCTTGAGAACAAGGATTATCTTTTACCTTTCTTTGTATCCCTAGAGCTTAGGACAGTGCCTGACACATGGTAGGCACTTTCTAAATGCTTGTTGATTAACTAGTAAATAACATTTTCCCTTGGTTAACTCTTAGTGGTTGGAGGGGAGAATTTTAATGAGTAGAAACATACATTAATTAGCCAATGATGTGTGTGTACATGGCTATATACACAGGTATTATAAAGATGATTTCTATAAGCCCTTCAAGAATGTAAGTCTCATTACTTTATAGCCATACCAAGTATGTATATTTGTAAATACATATGTGTATACATACAGATTTATCAAGTATATGCATTTGTATTTCTAACAGGGAATTAGACAAAAAAGTCTGAGAAGCAAATGTGGACCTTGTGTAATAGGACATCAGTGATTTAGTTATCTATATACCTATATGGATATGGAATACATATTTGCATGAATGTTTATGTTAACTTTCAAGGATATTGAACTATACTCCTGATATGGAAAATTCTGATGTGGATGAAGCCATCCAAAAAGCTCTGGAAGTGTGGAGCAAGGTGACCCCACTAACATTCACCAGGATTTCCAAAGGCATTGCTGACATCATGGTTGCTTTTAGGACCAGAGGTATAGTTACAATATGATTGAGTAATAAATCAGGGTGTTTTCATCTTGGGTTGTGTGAATTAGATGAGACTTAGCCCCTGCTTAGCCCCAGAGGGAAGCAATGGGTGCCAACTGTAAAATACAGTTCAGGTAAAGAGGGTTAAACCTTCTCTAATAATTAGATTCTCAAAGTAAAATGGGCTGCCTTGAGAGGAAGTGAGTTCCCTATCACCAGAGGTTTGCAAGGAAAGGCTATCTGACCACTTTTTAGGGATATTACAGAGTGGATCTTTTGTAGATACTGGTTCCAACATTGAAATTCTGAGATAACATTTGTAAGATGCTTTGTAAATTTAAAATATTATATAAATGCTAGTCTGTTATTGTTGTTAATTTTACAGCCCATGGTAAATGTCCGCGGCAATTTGATGGTCCACTAGGAGTGCTGGGCCATGCTTTTCCTCCTGGCTGGGGAATTGGTGGAGATACCCACTTTGATGAAGATGAAAATTGGACCAAAGATTCAAGTGGTGAGTTCTGGGGATTCTTAATAGCCAACATTTCTTTTTAAGGAATTACTTTAAATCAGTCTAGGAATAGAGTAATAGTCCTAGAGTCAGGAGGACAGGAGTTCAAACCTGGCTTAAGACATTAGCTCTATGACCCTGGGCAAGTCACTCACCTTCTGTCTGGTTCAGTTCCCTCAACTGTGAAATGAGGATAATAACAGTACCTATTTTACAGTGTTGTTCTAAGTATGAAATGAGGTAATATTTGTAAAGCACTTAGTACAGTGCCTGGAAAATAGTAAGTACTTAAAAATGCTAGTTCCCCCTGTCCATCCTAGTTTCTTCAACTACAAAATGGAAATAATAACACCTATATCTCAGTCTTGCTCTAGGCTCAAATGAGATAATAGTTGTGAATTGCTTAGCATAATGCCTAACTCATGGTAGATATTTAATAAATATTCGTTTCCTTCCTTCATTCCCTCTTCTCTTCCTTCTTCCTTCTCTCTCCCTCCCTTCTTTTCTTCTTTCTCCTTTCCTCCTTTCCTTCCTTCTTCCCTTCTTTCCTCAATTCTTCTCTCCATCCCTTCCTTCCTCCCTCCCTTCCTTCCCCATTCGCCAAAATAGTAGTTTGCCAATAATAGTTTTTCTCCAAATTCTCAAAGTTGCCTCAAGGCTCTAGCCTCCATATTACAGAATGATTTTACCAACTGCAAATACCAACTTTGTTGTTTGAAAATAAATAAAAGAAGAGCCTTCTCCACACTGTTCATTTATGGGCTGGTTATCCTGCATGTAGAGGACAGTCGTTCTTTCATGTGTGTGTGTATTTTTAATGCCTACCATAGATGGAGATTCCCAATCTTTTTTAGTCCTTATACTGCTAGACTTCCAGGTAATCTTTGTGTACCCTTTATTTAATGGGAAAGGAAATAAATTCTGTTGCTTACCATACACCTAAATATAAGTAAAAGATCAAATAGCTTCAAGAATATAGTATAGTCATTTACCAAATATTCTCCATAGCCCTTGACAAGCTTTTAGGATGTCCTGTGAATAAATGCACAACTGGTTGGGAATACTTGACTTACTATCTGCAAAGCACTAGGTGAGTGCTATGCAGACTGACAACTTATATAATACAATATAATGCATAGCTTTGAGGTGCTTCATGTCTAGTAATTAAGATAAGGAAGATACACAACAATATGTAATATGAGTGAGGATGGTTATAAGAGTGGTGCAGTGGACAATGTTGGACTTGGTGTCAGGAAGACCTGAATTCAAAGCCTGATTCAAACACCTACTGTGTCTGAGCTCAATCAGTCTCAATTCCCTCATGTATAAAATGGAGATAACAATAGCACCTATTTTTCAGGGTTAATGTGAGGGTCAAATTGGACATGCTTAAAGCACTATATAAATGTTAGCTATTACAATTATTCTTGTTACAAACTATGATACGCTGTGGAAGTTCAATGAGGAAGGAATGATAATTTCTGGCTAAGGAGGATCAGGGAATGTGTCTTGGAGAAGATGGCATTCGAGCCAAGATTTCAAGGACAGATAAGATTTCCATACTTGACCATTGTAGGGAGGATATTCCACTAAAGTCAGCCAGTCACTTAAGAGTCAGAAGCATTTATTAAGCACCTGGCATTGTGCTAAGCACTGGAGATACAAAAAAGGGCAAAAGATAATAGTCAAATGAGGGAGACAAAATAAAAAAAGACCCTATATGCACATGTAAAATATATACAGGACCATTGGTGATAATCACCAGAGGAAAGAAACTAGCATCAAGGGGAACTGGAAAAGTCTTCTGGAAAAAGCAAGGATTTTGCTGAAACTTGCAAAAAGTCAAGGAAAGCAGGAGATAGAGATGAAGAGGAAGAGTATTATAGGCATGAAGGATGGCCAGTGAAGTTTCACTGAGTTAAGAGATAAAGTGTCTTGTTTGAGAAATAGCAAGGAAGCCAGTCACTGGACTGAAGAGTACAGGTTGGGATTTAAGGTGTAAGAAGACTGGAAAGGTAGGAAGGTTGTGTAGGATTTTGAATGCCAAAAAGATGACTTTGTATCCTAGAGGTGAACAAAAGCAACTCAAGTTTATTTTTTTTTTGAGAGCAGTAAGATGCTTTATTGTTTCTGCATTTCTACCAATGCAACTCAAGTTTATTGAATGAGAGAGGGCGAGCAGTGTGTGTGTGACATGGTAAGACCTGCATTTTAGGAAGATCAATTTGACTGCTGAGTGGAGAACAGGCTCAATTGGGGTGATACTTAAGGCAGAGAGACCATAGTCTAAGAGTGAGGTGATAAGGGCCTTAAACAAAGTGGTGACATTGTCAAAGGAGAGAAAGGGAAATGTTACGGAGGTAAAATCCACAGGATGATAGGTGTGAATAGAATGGGAGTAAAAAATGCCATTGAGAAATTGCTTCACAGAAGAAAAAATGGGCTGGTCCTGTGCAAGAGTGATAGATAATAGGCAGACAGAAAGTGCTCCACTGGAATTCTCAGGATATCAGGGGAAAGTTTTGAAGACCTCTGCTTCACTGAATGGACTTTTCTGTGGCAAACTTATGTGAGGATATAGACAAAAAGCACATAATCATGGGCAGGTACAGCTGGATTATAATTATGGATTCATTGTCTAAATCAATGAGTTTATAAATCCATATGAGTATTTGAGTGGCACCATCAGCAGCATTGTCTAAAATGCAGGATAGTAATTTATAGTCCTAACAGCAAATAATTATAGGTTCTCTTCCTAAAGTAGCAATCATAAGGGTTTCTGAGACTCCAATGTGCAGAGACATAAGTAGCAATTTTCATACATGGGACAATTCAGTTAGGGAAGGGTGAGGATTAAAGGATGATGAGCAGAGTGGTCTAAGGAGTTTCTCTCGCAGGCTATGGACCATGAAGGAGAAGAAATATGTGATCCTGAGGCTTCCTACTTTATCTAATCCTTGCTAATTAGGTGCTTCATAGCTGTTTCTGCACAGCAAGTCTAAGAGTACAAGTGCTGTCAAACACCCTTTCCATTTCAGTGTTTGTGGCAAAGGACCAGCAACCTCACTCTAACTGCAGCTCTGTCAGGAAAAATCACCTTACTTCCATATGCTGAATTTCATCTTGTCTACCAGAATGAAAAGATACCTTGATGGATTGCATGGAATACTGGGCTTAGTACCTCTGAAACTTTATTAGATGGTGTGGCCCTGGACAAAGCATTTAACCTTTATGTACCTCCCTAACGCTTACCTATTAAATCATAAAGGAGTTGTAAGAACCTCAATAGTCTTATCCTGCTAAATGAAGAAGGCCTAGGAAAACTCAAATGCCTTGAGTCAAGGCATTAGTCAAAAGAAGATCATCCGTAACAACTGAAAGCCCCTTTCCCAAAGAGTTCAAATATTACCGAGTTACCAATTCCCCAGGAGTTTCCCTCTTCCCACCCCACCACTATCATGCATCAGCACCAGTTCCTAAGCCCAGGCTCCTTCCTCCTTCTCCCCAGTGTCTGGTCCTGTTTGACCTTAGATAAGAACGCTATAAAAACACAGGAGACTTTACCAGCTTGAGCTCCCAATTCTAAGCAGGGATCCAGAGAACTTGACCCGTATCTATTGTTCCTGATTGCCCTTCTTTACTGTAGGTCCCCTCAATAATGTTTTTTCAGTAATGTTGTGTGCTCATGTTTCCTTGAAGTGAACTTTGGTATTCCAAACTTCATTAAATCTGCAATAAGACAGCTATCTTTCAATAGTGAATTTGAGTAATTCCTGAATGAATTCTAGCCCATAAAAGTATTGTCTTTACTGTGACAATCCTATGTTCATCTCACCTAAGCCAACCTTTCATCTAACATGCAAGTGATCTAATTTACCTATGTTTATTATTCATTCAAAAGTATCTATTAAGCTCAATAAAGTTGAGTATCGTATTTTTTACACTATACTGCACAGCTATTTATCTCATAGTATTCTACCTCCTGACTCAGCATATTTATGGTATGTTATGGAATACTCTCCCTGCCCACCTTTGACTCTTGCTTGGCTCATTGGTTTCTTTGAAGGCTCAGTTCAAATTCTACCTTCTGCAGGAGATCTTTTCCACCCCTATCTTCTCTCTGAGATTATTTCCCACCTATCCTATATACATCTTGTATTTACATAGTGATTTACATGTTTTATCCCCCTTTAGACTGTGAGCTACTTAAGAGAAGGGACTGGTTTTGCTATTCTTTGTACTCATAGTGCTTGGTGCAATACCTGGCATGCAGTAGACAAACAGGTAGTTCTTAATAAGCACTTGTTGACTGACTGGCTAATTGTCTGTTTCTATTTTTTTTAAGGATTCAATTTGTTTCTTGTAGCTGCTCATGAGTTTGGCCATTCCCTGGGCCTCTCTCATTCCAACGATCCAAGTGCCTTGATGTTCCCAAATTACGCCTTCACTGATCTCAGCAAATCTCCCCTTTCTCAGGATGATATCAAGGGCATTCAGGCCATCTATGGTAAGTGGAGTTCCAGACTTTACACAAATGTGTTGAACAAGAAGACTTTCAGAAAGGAAATTAGGTAAATCATTTCTTAAATTTTTTCATAAAAAAACTCCCATTGTGCAAGCCTCCTCTGTACTCATGTTGTTTCCTCACAATCTTGTCATTCATTATGGCTGTTTCAAATGCATTGTTCTCTCACTGAAGGATCCTCACCTAAGGTATCTGCTAAGCCAAAGAGACCCACTATCCCCCAAGCCTGTGACCCTAATTTGACTTTCGATGCTGTCACCACCTTCCGTAGAGAAGTAATGTTCTTTAAAGACAGGTAAACCATTTTTCTCTCAACCAGATCTCTTCCTTTTCTGGAACTTGTTCTTTTTAAATGAATTTTTCTTTTGTTGAGTGTCCATTGTGCCAAAGGGCAAAATGTCTATTTTAAGCAATTATTTTGAAGGATACTGAACAAATATTTAAATCCTATCCTAGAACACTGTAATCTGTGGTAGGGACTTGTGCCATATTGAATTACTTAGGCTTTGATTGACCACAGTGCCTCACTTTTGTTCCTTATGTCATTTCTGCATTTGTTAATAGATTCCTAACTTTTAGTGTTCAAGCAGACACTGGAGAACTACCTGGATGACTAGACTAGAGAGTTTTCCTACTTTGGGTGGGAGGCAGACTAGGCAACCTCCAAAGTCCCTTCCAAAGTTAAAACTGACTCTAGCATCCTATGGCTGCAAAGAAGACATTTTTCAATCCAACAAATGACAGAGCTGAAAGTGCCATCACAGAAGGCCAACCCCAAGCCACGTAGGCTTTGGCCTCCTAGAGTTGTGGTCCTGTCTGAGAAATGCCTTCACTAGTACGGACTCTTTAGAGAGTTCATAAGGAGTACAATCTCTTCCGCCCAGCCCACAGAGGTAAAAACAAGTTCTTATCCCTTTAGAGTTGCTCAGTGAGGGTAGTTTCAATGCTATTACATCCTTATAAATCATGATGATGATGATTTAGAATATTTACATGCACCTCTTTGCCATCAATATCTATACTGTATATACACCTAAGATTGTCTTATGTCTGAAACAGGCATTTGTGGAGAATTTATCTTGAAGTCTCAGGAGTTGAATTTGAATTAATCTCTTCATTTTGGCCATCTCTACCAGATGGTATTCAAGCTGCATATGAAAATAACAGGGATGAAACTCTGATTTTTAAAGGTAACTTCTTACATTGTATTTTTCTGTCATTTGTAGCTAATTCAAATATTAGGAAAACAGATATCACCATTGATCCAGAATGAAAGTGCTTCCCTATTATAAAGTAAGGAAATATCACACATTGTGCTAGTTACTTTATAACTGTCTCATTTAATCTTCACAACAACCCTAGGAGGTAGGTGCTACTATTATCCCACTTTTAAGCTGAGGAAATTGAGCCAGACAGAGGTTAAATGACTTGTCCAGGCCACACAGCTAGTAGGTTGCTGAGGCCATGTTTGAAATCAGGTCCCTCTGACTCTAGACCCAGCACTCCATTCATGGCACCATTTAGTTGCCCTCAGTTCAGCCTTAGCTTCTTAACCGTAAAGAAAATTATAACAAGCATATCATAAACAGTTTCCAGTATTTCAATGTGTATATATTTCTGAGGTGATAGCGGAAATGTAATGTGAAGAGCATTTGACTTGGAATCAGAAGACCTGACTTTGATTTTTGACTGTCGCTCAATTTCTAGGTGACCTTGGACAAGTCCCTTCACTTCTCATTCTCTCAGTTTCTAAACCTGTAAAATGATGATGATAATACTTGCACTAACTACCTCAAAGGGCTATGGTGAAGAGCATATAAGACAATGTGTACACCTTAAAGTTGTATCTACAAATATCAGGTCTTTCCTATACAGTTTTGAAAATAAACACCAAGGTACCCAGGGCCTGCATGGGTATCATAAGAAATGAGACCCTTTCCTAAAAAAAACAGCATGCATTTTCTCTCCTTTCTGTTTCCCTTTTATTTGGCTTCCAGTAAGAAGATGTGTCTCTAGTGATACTTTGATTGGATATGCTCAGACTAATGTGGCTATTTTGACTTCTACAACTGGTCAAAGTTGACCAGAGAAATCAAAGTATTTCTCTTATGTAGACATAACCTCAAGGTGTTTTCTATAAGTAGCTGTTTATTTCCCTAAGTCTAGTGATTTGATGAGCAGAAGTAAGAGATTAGATATGAAGGGGATAAAATGAATAATCATGTCAGTAAGCAGAATTGACCTTGTGACCTACAGATTTTTCAAGACTCTGAAGACAATTTTTTTTCACCCTGAGAGTAAGACATTCAAATATTATCTCTTTTCCTCATTCTAGATGGACATTTCTGGATCATCAGTTCAAATGCCATTCTGCCAGGTTATCCCAAACCCATCTACAACCTTGGCTTTTCAAGGCGCACACAAAAGATAGATGCTGCTCTCTTTAACAGGAACACAGGAAAAACCTATTTCTTTGTTGAAGATAAGTACTGGAGGTAAACCCAGAATGCACTGTGTTCTTTGTCCTAGAGTGAAAAGTACCCGTACAACTTTAGGCCCATAGAGAGGAAGCAAGATGTTCCAGTATTGGCTTGTATTCTTTGGTGGTGCACATTTTGATCAATAGGGCTTTTTGCTGTCAGCATCTTTTGGGGCACAAGCTGTGTGCCAATTACAAATCTCCAGGTTTGAAGGCACCTTGGGGTCTATATAGTCCAATGCACTCCTGAATAAGAATCCTCTCTCAAAGATACCCAACAGAGAACCAACAAAACTTTTCTTGAGGAAGAAATCGGTATCTTCGGAAGCATCCTATTCTATCTGACTCAAATTATCTTAAATTGTTAGGAACTATTTCTCTTTTTAAAAAAGTCTAAATTTGCCTCTTTGAAACTTCCACTCCTTGCTCCATTTTATATTGCAGATATGATGAAATAAACCAAACCATGGAAAAAGGTTACCCTAGACGAATATCAGGACTCTTTCCAGGAATTGGCCTCCCAGTTGATGCTGCATTCCAGTATAAGAGTAAGTAGAAATTCCAAACAGGATATGTGGGAAAGCTATTCTAAATGACTAAAAGTCTGAATCCTTCTTAAAGATACGTACTTTCATTGCTTTCAAGAAAATATAGTTGCCAAGCGAACCAAGTGATTTTGGTGTCTCTGTCACTAAGGGAAAGATACCCAGCATAAGAGAATAGACAATGGTATCAAGAACTACAAAGAAGTCAAGGAGTATGAGAAGTGGGGGGAAAGGCCACTGGATATAAAAATTGGGAAGTCATTGGTGGTTGGTGTAAACACAGGTTCACTGGAATGGTGAGGTCAAAAACTACATCACAGGGGGAATGAGGAAAGAATAAATAGTAAGGAAGTAAAACCACTATATAAACAACACTTTTTCAATTAATTCAGTATTAAAAGGGAAAAGAGAAATGACACAGTCACTGAATGGAGCAGAAGCGTCAAGAGAAGGCTTGTTTTTGAGACTAGCTCACCCTCTCTCACCTAGATTGTAATTTCAGTAGCCACTCTTGCCAATCCTACTGTTGACTGGTGCAGAAACATTGATTTTCTCCATTTCCAGTCTGAGCCCAATCTCTACCCCTTGGGCAGCCTGGTAGCCCTTCTGCTCCCACAGGCTTATCATCTTGATGCTGGAGTTAGTGAGGATGCACATTTGGCTTTAGCCTTACTACATCTCAAAACTCCTCAGCTCAAGCAATACACTGGCTCTAAGCACCTCAGTATCAGGGCATATACATAGGCATTTGGCACCACACTCAGTTGAGAAAAAGCTTTTTTTTTGGACATGGGAGATTTGACTATTTTTGCAGGAAGATGGTAAGGAACCACTGGTGAAAAAGAAATTGAAGATGCTTAAATGAGAAGAAATAATAATAACAGTAGGAGGAGGAGGAGGAGGAGAAGAAGAAGGAAGAAGAAGAAGAAGAAGAAGAAGAAGAAGAAGAAGAAGAAGAAGACACCATAGCAGAAGCATCAACACGTAAGAATTCTAAGTAGCATTGAAGAATAGAATGTCAAGAAAAGTGGCTTGACCAGACCAACATAGAACAAGGAAATCTATACTGGAGGTGATACAATCTTGAAAACATTGGGAGGGATTACTTTATAAGAGGGCAAGATTTCAAAAGAACAGAAAAGAAAACACAGAAAAATTTGATAACCACTCCAAAGTGACTGAGAATGCTGCAACACCTAAATACCTACATATTTTGCTTTCTCTTTTTTATTCAATTCTTATGACAATAATCTACAAGTATAGAAACCTTTTGCAATTGATTTTCTTCAATAAGTCACAGCTTCATAGTCATTCATCTGACTGCAAGGTGCAGAGAACAAGATCCTACTGTGTTTATTATTTGTAAATTATTTTTAAAGTGGAAAAGTTTTTGACTCAGTAGAACAAAAGACGACCTTAGAAGCTCTCCTCCATTAAGGAGTGTTTTGTGACCACATTAAGATGATATAAGTTATCCTGATAAATGAAACTACAGAGATAAATGTTTCAATTGAATCTGGTTATTACTGTCAAGTAAGGTACAAAGCAAGGAGACATATCTTAGCTAAAGTTGTTCCTCACTATCGTAGAGGATGCCCTGTTCATGGTACAAATAGAGGAAAGATTCCACATAGATGATTCTCTGATGATCCTGTTTGTAGATGATAGTGTTTGATAACATCAAACTCCAAAAGATTACAGGGCTTCCTCAAAGAGATCCAAGGTTACTTAAAAGAGTTTTGGCCTAACAATTCACCTAGGAAAAACTAAATGAATGAAAAATGATTGTTGCTCAAACTGTGACATATTGTATCATCAGATCCTTGAGTTTGTATGTCAGTTACATACAGCTGGGATAGGCATCCTAGGAAGGCAATGACTTGAACCTATAAATAGATAGAAGAAAGAGTAGAGGCAATTGCATTTTGGAACTCGTACAATGCTTTGAAGATGTCAAACTAGTTCTCAACAAAAAAAAACCTATGTTGTAACATAAATGCTCTCCTGGCAATTTTGTTTAGCTTAAAATCTTCGAACACCACAGTGTCTGAATAATCAAAGTTATGGCTAACTCAAAGAGAAATAGATATTCAGTGGGCATATAATTGACTGCAGAATATTTTCAGTGATGACCAGCATGAAACAAATGGTAAAAAGGAAAATTGTTAAGGAAATGTGTGATTTGAAAATAAGGAAAGTTGATAAGAGCAATCAAAAAATGGATGGCTCAGCAGTGCCACTGGTACTCATGCCTCTGATTGATTCAGAGATGGGGACTGTCTTTACTTACTAAGCCTGTTCTATTTTAAGACAGCTCCAATTGTTGAAACAGTTTCCATATATTAAACTGTAATCCACTTCTTTGCAATTTCCATCTCTTTTTTGTACTTTGTTTTGCCCTCTGGAACCAACCAGAGCAAATCTAGCTACTTTTCTAGATGACCATCCTTCAAATGGGACACTTATCACAAAGGCTGAGTTCGTTTTTTTTTTTCCCTTTAAGCTCTGTCAAGGAAACAGATCAAAGAAGAGATGGGACCCTTGCTAGAATTATGATAATGTATAATGAAGGGAATACAGAATTATTCTTTTTTTTGCTTTGTTTCTATTTTCTTACTCTGAAAAAATATCTCTGGATTCAGGAGAGAACAAAAATTGTTAAAAATAGAACTGTACCCCCAAGAGAAGTGAGGAGATGGTATCTATCTTCAATGAGTTCATGTCAGTAAATGAACTATAACCTAATTTACCGAAAGGACTTATGGATGTGAATTCTGAGATATTATCAGGGATCTCCGAAAAACTGGAGAATAGGAAAGGGGCTGAAATATGTAATATGGACATATTTTGTCTACAACTTATAGGTTGCAGAACTTGACTTTGATTCTTTATAAATATTCTAAAGAATGTTATAAAAGGGATCACTTGTGAGCATTTAAAGAAGAAAAAGAATTGATTACTACTTACCGATTACTAGAAGCCACCATGATTTTATCAAGAACAGGCATAACAAAATACCTTCATTTACTTTTTTGACAGGATTTTGCACTGGTAGGTCAGGGTGCAATGGATTTCAGCAAAGTATTTTACAAACAACTATATTAAATTGAAGATGTGTTGGAGAAATGTGCCTAAACAAGAGTATGGCTAGGTGGATATGGAACCAATTGGATGACCTGCAAAGTAGACATTAGTGGGTTGAAATTAACCTAGAAGGAGCATTATAGTAGAATTCCCCAAAGATCACTCCTTCCTTTGCTGTTCGAAATCTTTATCAATAAGTCAAAGACATAGATGGCATGCTTACCAAATTTAACACAAAGCTGGGGAGGATAGCAAACTTGTGAGATGACAGTGTAAGAATTCCAAAGGGTCTTGATAGACTATAAAGATGGGTCAAACTTAATAAATATAATTGAATACAGATAAATTTACATTCCTAAATTTGGACTTTTCATAATTAACCACACAAGTATATGATAGGAAGTTGTGGCTAGACAACAGCTAATGTGAAAAAAGATCTCAGAGTTTTGGTATACTGCAAATACAAGATGAGTCAAGTATGTTTTTTAAGTAAAAAATTCTATCGTGAAGTTTGGCTGCACAAGAGAAGGGTGGTGTCCTGGCTTAGGAAAGTGATTATCTCACTGTGCTCCACACTACTAAGTTCTCTGCTAGAATATTGCCTTCAGTTCTGGCTGCCAAATTTTAGGAAGGATTTGATAAGTTACAGCATGTCCAGTGGTAAGCTAAAAGGATAGTGAGAAGGACCAAAGGCTTTACTAAGGGAGGTGGTTGTTCTTCATTCTCAAAGAGGACCATGACATCAGGGAGGTGATGCTGTGACATGCAAGTGAATTGGATTTAAGTGAGAGAGGGCTGTGCAAAATCACTAGCCTCACTTTCTCCTCTGGAGGCATCTGGGTTCAGTGGCAAGATATAGACCAGGATGACTGGAGATGGCCCTCTACAGGAGAGTTATTGAAGGAACTAAGGATGTTTAGCTTGGAGAAAATACAAGAGGACATGATAAATATTTTCGATGTTCCAGGACAGAACCACTGGAAATTACAGAAAGGCTTTGATGTAAGGGCAAACTTTCTTACAGTTTAAGTTATCCAAAATTGGATCAGGCTGCCTGGGGATGGAAGGGGCTCTGCTTCTTTGGAAATCTTCAAATGAACTCTAAATGCTGTTGTTGTTTTTGTTCAGTCATTTCAGTCATGTCCAACTCTTTGTGATCCCATCTGGGGTTTGTTTGTTTTTTTTTTTTTGGCAAAGGTCCTTCTACAGCTCATTTTACGTATGAGGTAATTGAGATAAACAGAGTTCAATGACTAGCCCAGAGTCGCATAGCTAGTAAGTGTCTGAGGCCAGATTTGAACTCAGGAAGATGAGTCTTCCTGCCTCCAGCCCCTGCACTATGCATTTCACCACCTAGCCATATACTCCAGATGACTATCTGTCAGTGATAATGTAGAAGAAATTTCTGTTCAGGTATAGTTGGTTTAGATCAGCAGTTCTCAAAATTTTTGGTCTAGGGACCCCTTTACACTCTCAAAATTATTAAGGACCTTCCCCAAAGTGAGAGACAGAGATATGACTACTTAACTGTACAAGGTAATAATTGGGCTTAATTTTCTTTCTAGGATTCTTCTATTTCTTCAGTGGGACAAAACAATTTGAGTTTAACCCTTATACCAAGAATATTACTCGAGTTTTGGAGGCCAACAGCTGGTTCAAGTGTCAAAAAACATTCAACTCATCACCTTATTATGGTTTTAGCCAGGAAAACAATTCAAATTCAAAATCAATGCAAGTGATTTCTCAACAGAGTTTTATATTAGTTATTTACTGTATCACTTATCTGCTGACAGAAATCTACAGTTGATGGAAGAGTTGTCAAATAATAGATGGGGAAGGGATTTCAAAAAGTCATCAATTCTAGACTTGTGCCCCAAAATATTCCTGAATCATTCCTGATGGATAGCCATAAATCCTTTCCTTAAAGACTAAGGATGGTGACTCTACGTCCTTTGGGAGTTACCAGGTTCAGTGTTTTATTATGCTTACTGTTAAGTTGTTCTTAAATCTCCCATATGACAATCCCAGTACTTTGTTGGCATAAAGAAGACTCGAGTAAGTGACTAATAATGACCAAATACTAACAACATTTATTAAGCAAAACTCAGAATTGTTTTTCAACTAGATCAAATAACCCCAATCTAACTATAACTTACATGTGTTAAAACTGAGTAATATGCAAATTGCAAGCGTGTGTACATGAACAATAGATATTTGATTTGAGGCATGTGAATGTGAAGAGTGTCCTTTCTCATATTTATCATTTCTCTTATAAACCATATTCTTGGATACCCTTCAAATTCTAATAATAACTGACGTTCATAGAGTGCTCTAAAGTTGAAAGTTGCAAAGTGCTTTACATATATTTTATCACTTGAACCTCATGATAACCCTATGAGATAGGTACTACAGGTATTATCATCCCTATTTTATGATGAGAAAATGGAGGTTCAGAAAATTTAAGTGACGACCAAAATCACACAACTGGTTAACCAGCAGAGGCAAGATTTCAACTGTGGTCCTTCTGATTCTACATCTAGCATTTTTTTGCCCTCTATCACACAAATTTCTACAGCAAGTTCTCTATCTCTAGCATTTATTTTTTCATACTATTAGTCACCAACCTAAATTCTAGTTCTTTTCTTAGTAGCAAAGCTCTCAATGCATTATCTTGGAAGATGTGAGAATCTCATTCTCATTTAATGTTAATTGGGTGTGGATATAGGAACTACAAACCACTAGAGACAGTACAGAAACTGAAAAATGTCACAGGTGCTATATACATTTTCACGAGACTCATTCTTACTTCTTCTCTAAATAGTTATTTTCCCTGAGACCAGAATTTTTCCAACTACCAAAGACATTTTAGTGAGTTCCATGTAAATATACATAACTCACATTTCTGCATAGCTGAACAGGTTGATAGAATATATTCCTTACTACAACCATGTAAGGTAGGTAGTGGAAATGTAGTTATTCCCATTTTACTAAGAAGGAATAAGGAAACTGAGTCTCAAAATGGTGAAGTGACTAGTCAAAGTGAGAAACCAGGCCTTGAACCCAGATTTTTTTAGTAGAAATTCACTATTCATTATGCCGCACTGCTGCCTATAAAACTTTGCACCACCTGCGAAGTGAAAAATGTTTTTATAAACATAATGTCTCTCTTATTAGGCACTCAATAAATATTTGTTGAATGAGTGGTTTTGTTTTTGTTATCATGGAATGGGGAAGGGAGAGAGGGAGAGAGACTTACAGACTCAATAAAAGAACATGAATGTAGATGAATGTAGAGTTGGAAAGAATCACAGATGTCATTTTGTATAACCTCATTTTATAGCTAAGGAACTGAGGCTCAAGGAGACTAATCATCTGAAGGTCCTCTGACTTTAACTCAGTACTTTTCCCAGCAAACTGTACTCTTTTCCACATATAGGTGTTACTATCCCCAAAGCTAATTAATCTGGTGAGTATCTGAAATTCCAGGCAGCTATTCTTAACTTTAAAGAAAGAGAATCTTCATAGGAAATATCAAGAATGATACAAGAGGGTCAATCTCTTGGAATATTAGAGGATCACACATTAAGAGCTAGAAGAAACCTTGGAGTTCATCTTGTCCAAAATCTCTCATTTTTCTGATTAGAAAACAGACCCAGAGAGCTTAAAAGACTTAGCCAATGTCACAGAGGGAGTAATTGGCAGAGCCAGTATTGGTACCCAGGTTCTCAGACTTTAAATCCCTCCTTCTTTCCCCTTTACCACTCTGACTCCTACTATTTATTTCTGCTAAAAATCCAGACATATCACTGCAGATTTCTAATATAGATCTAAATATTAGAACAATTAGAATGGCAGGTGGAATAGTAGATAAATCATTGAGCCTGCAGTCATAAAGACCTTAGTTTAACTATGACCTCAGATATTTACTAGCTGTGTGACCTTGGGTAAATTACTTAAATTCTATCTGCCTCATTTTTTCTTATCTGTAAAATGGAGATCATGACAGCACCTACATCCCAGGGTTATTGTTAGAATAAAATGAGATAATTTGTTTAAAGCACTTTGCAAACTTTAAATATATAAACATGTATAAGCTATAATATATAAATATATAAAAGTATATATTAGTATATAATTATTAGCTATATCAACAATTATTATTATTATCTAAAAGATTAAAAGAAAGGCATTGGGTGCACCCTTCTTTCCACCCCATTTGAACAGGTGGAAAACCAAGGCTGAAATTAGGCAATGTATGTATGACCTCAAGTAAGTTATTCCACTTTTCCAGGCTCCAGGATCATACCAGATGATTTCTGACACTTCTCCCAACTTTAGATCTATGATGCTATTATCCTATAAGTCCTCATGGAAGAAATGTTGAGCTCAGAAAGAGATTAGCAGGCTCCTTGGTTGTTTCCCTACTGTGCTCCATAGCTAACAGAAAACTAGGGCTATGCCCTTGACTCTGTCTTATTTTCTTCAAGTCAGTATGACTGGAGCTCAAAGAAATTCTCTCATGGACAAGTAAGATGACTTTGTGACATTTATCATTCTGTCTCGGAGATCTCACCTACATAAACCATGTTGATCCAAGATAGTAAATTTAATCATCACCATGGAATGGAAATGAATGCACACTCATTAAGCAGAGATAACTTTTTCACCCCTTACATCAAGCCAAAGAGAGAAATTCATGAAAGGTGAACCTCAAAAATGAATCACTTGCTTAGAGAGCTAGTTTTGTGTGCTGACTTGTAGAGATTTCTGATCAAATATTGTTAAGACCACACTTTCGTATGAAATCCACATCCTCAAATGTTGGTCTTTAGATATATAGGGAAGTTCCTAAATAGATAAATCTGTGTCTACAGAATATGTTTTTAGGCTGTTTTTTTCCTATATCTGACCTACAAGCTGCATCTGACTCACAATCACATATATTCTGTCCCTATCCAACATTCATTCCAAATCTGTCCACCTTCAGAACACATCCCAGAACCATGTCTTACTGGCATCACATAGGGAGAGCTGGGCGGCTGTATTTATGCATGGAAAGAAGAGCTTGAGCCTTAGTAAAGAAAAGGCACATATATATATATATATATATATATGTATATGTATATGTATATGTGTATATGTATATATGTATATATATGTGTATGTATGTATACACACACACATATACAGAGGGAGAGAGAGAGAGAGCAGTATAACAGAATTTTCACTGTTATATTCTTCTTCTAAGGACCAGTGGACAATTTATTGCATAGTAACTAGTAACCAATTTTTTTTAATCACATTTTGGAGTCAAGAGATACAACTACTGCTGTACCTTCCTCTTCCCTACCAAATGACAGAAAACGGGTGGTCAGAGGTAATCAATTTTTTTGTATATGATATTTCATAAAATATTTATAATTATAATAATTTAATGTAGTTTTTATCCATCATGATTATAAGCTTTTGAAAATAATAGCAGGAAATGATAATTGCTAACATTTACAGAGTTTACTATGCAATGGGCACTGTGCTAAGCATTTTACAATTACTATCTCATTTGATCCTCACAACAACCCTATGAAGTAGGTGCTATTATTATCCTCATTTTATAGATAAGGAACCTGAGGCAAGCAGAAGTGACTTGCCCAATGTCATACAGCTAGTGCTTAAGGTCAAATTTGAACTCAGGTCTTCCTGACTCTAGGCCCAGTACTCTACCCACTGGGCCACCTAGCTGATAACCAGTGTATTCAGTTTATTTGGTGAATTTTCATTTTTATTGTGTTTTGAGATCACCAAGGATAAAAGTAGAGAAAAATAAAAGAAGTTTAAAAAAGAGAATTTAGGGAAATATATTATTAATGGGACAGGAAGAAAAAGATCAGTCATCAAAGGTTATAGGGAAATAGTGTCAGAGACATGGGAAGAAAACAAAGTTATGGAAGGAAGTAGACAAAAAGGGGGCTCATCACCAGAAGCAATTCTTATAAAAAGTGAAGGATGATGAGTAAAAGAAAAGGCCATTGAATTTGGCAGTTTGGGTTTCTGCTCTGCTTGGAATAGAGTTCCCTGTGGTGCTATATTCCATTTCCACTATGACGTTAAAGCAAAACTTTCACAATTTCTATAACCCTAGAGTTCTTAATGAAGAAGGAGGTAGCCTCAAATTCTTTGCTACATGAAATCACTTAGGTGGCATCTACTTGTACTTCCAAATATCTACAAAAGAGTAATGATATCTATACCACAAATCTGAAGAGAACTTGGGAAAAACTTCTGCTAGTGACTTGTGCCATTATTGGCTTTCAAAATTCAACTGCTATTGTATTTCACTCACTGTTCTGACTAGCATGATGTTTTAAAATGTGTTGCTGCCAATGGAGCCACACCTATTGCTGGGAGTTTCACACTGGATACTTTCACTCCCCAGATCCAGGCAGCTTTCTGAGAGCTTCTCTTTTTGTGACCTACTGATCCCACCAGCCCTCAGGGGAGCTTATGTTAGCCTCCCAACTACTGCACTGTGTCGTAGACTCCCCTCTTTGATATATGGTAATTGCCATTTCATGGAATGGTAAAAGAGCTTACTCATTGGCTGTAATGTAGTGGATGCTGGTCCATGAAGCCCTTATTAGATATGGTACCATCCTTTGTGAACACCCATGAGAGATTACATCTGATTTTACTTTTACTGGGGTCTAGAGAAGATTGAAAAGAAGGAGTAAGTAGTAGTTGAAAAGACAGTCACAAAAGGGAAGTTTCAGGGTGAATGGACGGCCCCAGCCCCAGGACTCACTGTATATTGATCTGAAGGAGTACAGGTGCCAGGAGTGCCCATTTGGTACTCCACTGAGGATGGTAGTACTCAATTTGCTACTGAAGACTGGTCCACAGCTCCTTCTGGGTAGGAACTACCATAGAATGCTCTTAATTTTGGGGCCAGATGAACTTAATAATGTTGAAATAAACTGAATAAAAATAATAATGCCCCCCCCCAGGAATCTGGTGACCTCTCAGAGAGGATAGACAAAGATATACACAAGTTTTGAGGTTGTGAGGAAATAAACATTCATTAAGTGCCTAATTTGTGCCAAACACTTTACAAATATTATTTTATTTGATCCTCATGACGAGCCTGGAAGGTAGATACTATTATTATTCCCATTTCACAATTGAGGAAAACTGAGACAGACAGAAGTTAAGTGACTTGCCCAGTATCACATAGCTTATAAATGTCTGAGACTGGATTTGAACTTAAGTCTTCCTAACTCCAGAGCCAATGCTCTATCCATTGCACATCTTATGCCTCTCCACAACTCATGAAAAGTTGAGGAAATTCATAGGGAATGTCCTTTTCTCAGTAGAATAGAAAAAGAAGTCAACCACTGAGTGTGGGAAAGGACTATGAGGACTTAGGAAGAGTAAAAAAATGTTTAACATTGGTGCTATGCAGCAAGTGAAAAGTGGGGGGGTGGCAACTATACAAGATGAATAAAAGTATTTCCTAGAAGGACCAGCTAAGTTTATTTAGCATACAACAATAATGGACAAAAATCAGCTCACTTTTGTGATTTTCTTTAGGCATGTTTGATAGTCTGGGGTCAAGAATGAAAAACAATAAATGAGGTTTACTGGCATTAGAGCTTAGCAGGGCAGGAATGACAGAAGGTCACGAGTAAGGAATTCTTAGGTGGTATTAAGCACATCACTGAAATGAATGAGCATGTATCTAGACTGAGTAGGAAGATTAGAAAAGACAGAGCAGCAGGGAGGCGGGGGGAAGGACTGGGCAGAGCATAATGGAAAAAGTCCTAGACTTGTAGTCAGGAAGGCATGGGTTCATATTCTTCCTCTCATGCTTATTAACATTGGACAAGTCATTTAACCTCTCTGAGCTTCCATTTCCTAAACTGTAAAATGATAGAATTATACTACAATGGCCAATAAGGTCCTTTCCAGCTATGATCTTATGATCCTATAACCCAAGGTCACCATGAAAATAAAGGGCAGCAGAAGAGAGGGATTGGGAGATGTGGGATTATATGAGGTTATAGTAACTGACAATAGATAAGGTTATACCCATGGATTTTGTTATTGGGTTTGCAAAACACTAGACAGCCCCAGGAAGTAAGACACTGCTATTAGGATAGGCTTTTTACAAAAGAATTTCCATCCTCCCCTATTACACGTACACACACACACACAAACATTTATTAAGCACTTACAATGTGTCAGACACTGTCCAAGCAAAAATACAAAGTAATAGCAGAGTGGTACAATAGAGAACTAACCTCTGGGAAAATCAAGAAAGACCTCTTATAGGATGTATTATAAGCACTTGATCTGAGTCAGGAAGGGAACTAGAATGTGGAGCTTAGCAGGCAACTCATTTCAGGTTTGTAAGACATCCTGTACACAGAGACAGGAGATGGTATGTCACGTGTAAGAAATAGGAAATAGATGAGTTTGGCTGATACAAGGAGGTGTGAAGGGTGTAATATATAATCAACTATAACAGTAGGCTGGAGCCAGACTGCTAAGGACTTTAACCTAGAGGCAATATGGACCTACTGAAGCTTCTTGAGCAGGGGAATGATGCCATGGTCAGTTCCTTCAAATGATTCACAAATGGCACGATTCCCAGTTTTCTTTCCATCCTGCTCACTGTCCTTAAACCAACCAAAATTGTTCATCCTCAGAAGGATGGCCACCAGGCAATGAATCCGGAGGGTCGTAGTAACTGATGAAGCTGTCAAGGTGAGGAGGGTTTGTGATCTGCATCAGTGAAGTAATACTAATACCAATGAAATTATAGCTGCCCTAAAATCTAGTCACATCGGCTTAGTCATCATAGTTTGTTCCTCGCGATCCATAATCCCTTCCTTACAGTCTAAAAAATGTTAAAGGAACCATTACCTGTCATTAAGCTGTCACCTGATTCAGCTATTGCAAAACATTCT